TCAGTAGATCCACCTGTTCTGTTCCCCATTCTGTCTCCTGTTAATACTCTTTTTTTTTTAAAGATTTATTTTATTTGTACATACAGAACTGGGGTACAGGCCAGAGGCTCAGGGGTGGCGAGAAGCTTCACCAGAGACAGAGTGGGGAGCAGAACAGGCAGATCGACGAAGTACACTGCTGAGGGGAGAAGCGGGCGGGTCAGGAGAGGTCTGCCACGCCATGTGGTCACCTCCGGGGCAGGCGGGAATTGAACTCATGCGGAAGTGGCTTTAGCTTTTCAGTGCAGTGCTTTAACCCACTGTGCCACCAGGGAGGGCCTCCGGTTAATACTCTTAACCAAAGGCCTATATCTCAGTTCTTCTATTCATAAATAAACAAAATAAATATTTTAAAACTATATTTTCATTTTATAATTTTTCCCTACTGAAAAATTTGTGTGTGGAGATGTGTGCAAGAAAGGAACTATCTTTTTCTATCCTTCTATTTTATTTGCTTCATAAAACTTGAAATTTATCTACTTAGTTAAGATCACTAACGATTCACTATCTTTTCCTGCATTAAACCATACAGTAAATATATTAAACCATAAATATGGTAAAACATACCTTTTGATACTTTCAAAGTGAAAATCCCACTGGAAAAAGTTAAACAGGCAAAGCAGACTTTACTTAAATCTATTATAATAGTGGGAGAGACTAGAAGTGAACTCAAGGACAGGAGGACTTCAGAGCATTGGAGTGAGAGGGACACCACAGGCTGTCTGTATTTGCTAAATGGCTTTACCTAAAGGAAAAGTAAAATTTCTTTTATCTTTGTGACAGGAAGTAGTTTGATAATTTGGAGCAAAGTAGCAGTAGAAGTCAGGTTCCCACAGACCCACAAACACTGGGAGATGAGGCTCGGTCTTCCTCGATGCTTACATTTCCAAGAGACGGTTCCCAGATACTAGGGAAGGATCTTCCTGGGTTTTAAAAAAGATTTACATCTCAAAGGGCAAAGATTTTTTTTATATTCATATTTTCTAAAGGAAAGGCTCTAATAAAAAGCAGATTAGGCACCTAGAGTCCTGCAGTCTCTCTGAAGTATATGCAAGTTTGGAGAAGTTTAACTGATTTTGATCAATGCACATCCAATATTAGTTGGTAGGTGAATGAGAGAATACTTTTAAATATTTGCTTCATGTTGGAAAATTGCCAACAGAATTTAGCTTTTAAATGTGTGTTCTTTCTGGAGGCCTGCCTGGTAGCACAAGGGTTAAAGTCAGTGCCATCAAGCTATTGCCAGCTAGTGCAGCCTGATTTCAGTCCCCAGACAGGGAGCTGACCCACATGGCACAGCAGACCTCTCCTGACCTGCCTGTTGCTCCTGTCAGCAGTGTATTTCAGTAGATCTGCCTGTTCTGCTCTCACTCTGTCTCTGGTGAATCCTCTCAACCCCTGCACTGCTGACCTAGACCCCAGTTCTTGTATCATTAAAAAATAAATAAATAAATATTTAAAACTAAATAAATAAATGTGTGTCCTCACTCATAGAGTATGAATGTTTCTATTTTCTTATGTGTGTACCAACATGGTCTTATTTCCAACTTTTATTTTTATTTTGACCATTTGTAAGTGAAGAATGTTATAGCATAAAGTTCTTTTACCAATGAGATTGAACTTTGAAATTATATTTATTGTTCATTTGCAGTTTCTTTGTTTGGAATTGTCATGTTATGGAGTTTTTGTTTTGTTTTTTACTGTTTATATTACTTAAAAAAAACTGCAGTGTTGTTACCCTGTTTAATAGCTCTGAAAATGGGAGAAAAAATCAATAAAATCTACCAAGAACTAACTACAATTTAGGAGCTTGGTTGTTTTTCCCCTTCATATTTCAAAACTCACTTTCCACTGGAATTTTTAGTTATGAATAACATCAACTGTTAAGAGAGAATGTCCGGTTTGAAAATATTTTCATCTTGCCTAAAGGTAAAAGGAAATACTATGCCTTATTTTTAGTGAAATATATAGGTTTACATGTGAATTATATAGGTAGCATACACACATGAAACACATATGTGTAAACATGTAGAACATATAATGTGAAATATGTGTTTAATAAATATATGTATATATGCATACTTTACAGTTCACACTTCTATATATCCCAGAACCCCAAGTTACAAATTCACTAATTGCTCATATTGTATTGCTTTCTTATATTGGTTTTGTGAAGGTTGAGTCACACATATTTTGCTTTACTAAAGAATACAGAGTTTAGAAACCTGAGCTCAACCCCAATAAAATAGCTCCTCATTCAGGTCTCTCTTTTCATATTGTGCTCCTCTCTTGAAAACTGCGAATGTTAATAAATTCCTTTCTAGATTGTTTCATTAAGCTTTCACTTTTTGTGGGAATGAAAAAGGTAAAACAAAGAAAGAAATGGATACTACTTTAAATTTAAAGAGAAAAGCAGAAAATTAATTATGAATGCTGACAAAATCACCAATATGGGAAATTTAATAAAGGAGATAGATACACATGGAGTAGAGAGAGAAGGGGGAAGGGGAAGAAGACAGAGAAAAGGCAAATTTCCATTGTATTAATATGTTTACGGCTGTAATTACAGAATCATATGCAGAATCATCTGTTCATGAATGCCAGTTGCTTGTGTATTCCCTCATTCTCTGGCCTTGTGAGGTTATTCTTCCTTAATATGTAAATAAAATTTGGTTAAGTTTCCATCCTGGGTACTATAAAAATTTCAGCATTTCATCAAACTGTATGCTAATGCTAAGATCTAAGGAATCTCTTGGCCTGTTTTCTCATTTGCCCAGAATTCTGTCTTCTCATGCCCTTTCTATATGTTTGTATAAGCACTTTTCTTTAGGTTCTCCAAATTAATCCTGATCACAAAACTCTTGAATTTAGCACAGATATTCTAAAACCTTCTGGTTAGTACAGCATACAAAACAGTAACAAATTAATTGCTGGAATATTTTATTAGAATATTGGTAACAGTTATGAAATTTCTGACAGTCTGTCATTGCCATTAGACATTAATGTTCTCAGCTCATCTTTTATGATAATTGCTGATACTCAGGATCTGTGCTTTCTAAGAATTCAAAACTGAACTTATTTTTAAAACTGAACTTATTTTTATCCTTTGTTTCTCACATTTTATTTTACATGAAATTCAGTTATCTATTTTTCTTGTTGCGATGTGCATATTATTATTATTATTATTATTTTATCAAAAATAACCTATAGTGTTATTTTCTGAGTAGTTACCCATCCTGGAGAAAAATTACGTGCCTCCTTCAGAAGATACATTGTATGCTTTCTCCCCATGCATAAGAAATTGCAGGGCATATTTTCTGTCTCCATAAGGAGAATAATTTTAGTCTTTCACGTTATACCTTTTAATTTATTTTGGTACCTTTTTCAAAAATAGATACTTATAAAATGTCATCAGCATTTAAGAAGGGTTTAAAGATAATAAATTGACAATTCAGTGTTATTGTAAGTAGTGTGGAAGGAGATAAAAGTGAATTGCGATTAGATAACCAGCTATTGAACTGAAGAATGAAAAATGAGAGATGTCGAAGACAGTTTTTTTCTTTTTATGTGGCAGGCTTTTTCAGTGAATTTTATATGTGACTAGGTTGTGTTGTTCAGGAGTGCTTGCTTATTGTTTTCCTCAATTCCCTATGAGGTTATCAATAGTACACAGCACTTAATTGACATTTAGACTCTTAAGTAAACAGGGAGTTCAACAATTTCTATTAAAAACTTGACTTAAAATTTAATTGTTTTGAAGAAATATGTTGCCAGTGTCTTCTAAAATCTTCTCTTGTATCTTTGAAATCCTGATGATGAGAGCTGGCTCCTGTAAAAAATAAGGAGGACAAAGAGACACCATTTGACATAAGTTTGTCAGCCACCATCACTTGTGTTTGGCAAAGACACAAAAAGAGCTGGGAGGGAAAGCTTTTAATAAAAGATAAATCTGGGATGATATAAATTTTTCTCTGACTGTAGGATGCTGCCTGGGGAAGCGTGAGGCAAGCTATCTAGAATGGGGAGTGGGAATGAACATCTTTTGTGATTGGCTAGGAGGTATATTTCACTTTATCTTGTTGGTGCTGAGTGAGAAGGTAGGGTCATACATCCTGGAAAATGATAATCACAGGCCAAGCTTGATCCATCAGAGCTGGTGACTATAGTGTTGCAGATCAGAGTTTTGTTGTTATGCAATTATCTCTCATTCCCTAAACATTATCAAAGAACCTATCTATATGATATGCTACCTCACAAAGTGTTGACAATATACTGGGCTAGAGAAAATAAACTTCAGAATTTGTTGAGAAGTGGAATTTTGATTTAAAGAAACATTCAGAGTAGTAGAAAGTTTTATTAGAATTGGAGAAGTATAAGAACACAGTATTTCAGAACTGGATAAAAGAGTAATATTGACTACCGACAACATTGGTGATACTTTCCATTGAAGAGATCTTTGAAGAAATCTCTGTAATTGTCAAACTACTTCCTTAGACAAGAGACTTCTGGAAAAAAATTGTGCTAATGAAGATACAGAAATAGGAAATCCATGTTAAAAGAGACAACAAACATATGTTTTTCAGTTTTCAGACGGAGAATGGGAGTAGACTGCTTTTGTTCTCATTTCATTTGGACCATAATCTCTTTGTTCCTCTTAGATACCATTGTCCTGTATTGAAGTCTGCATAATAATGTGAAGTAGTTCTGTTAAATTCATAGTTCTGACTTACAAAAATCAATTTTTCAAGACTGAATGCCCATTCCATTTCAAGATATTTTCTATAAATAGTCTTTTCAACCTGAAGGTCTACCATATGGATTTATGAATTCTTGTATCATTGGGAACTTGATCTTATTTGGTCTTACTGAATGTGGTATGGGCACTTTTGGGGGGGACAGAATCAGTCAGTGAGGTTTGCATGTCTGAAGTGTGGTAATATAAGCTATGTTTTCTTCTCCAGCTGGTACCAGGAGTCTTGGAGCTGATGGGAAGAAACTACTGGGGTAGGGAATCATTGCTAGTTCTGGTGAGTAGTGACAATGTAGGCTCTATCCTCAGGGAGGTGTGGGGTGGGTGGCTTTGGAAGGGTTATAAAGTAGATTTTCATGCCGTTGTGTTCATATGACAGGTATGCCCTCCTTTTTCACTCTATATGTCTTTCCTAAATTTAAGTTGTATTACATTTAAACTCATCCTTACTATCTACTTCTTACTGAATGGAAGTTTCCTACAGAGGTAGAAAATATTGAAGGTTTGGAAATGTCCCTAATGCCAAAGTCAGATCAAAGTGTCCAAAACCAAAATATTCCCAAGTCACTTGAGTATTATCCTAAAAAAGAGTGATTTTAATCACACACAGATATACCAGGATTCATCTTTCCTAGGGCTGTGATATCTTATGCTGTTCACCATATTCATCCTTGGCTTCCTTTGGAAAAGCCCCAGGGTCCTTATATTAATTATTCCATCCAGTTTCTAGAGCTCAGCATGCAAAAATGTAGAATGCTGAGTCACAAAAAAAAAAAAAAGACCCATTAGACCCATTTTACTTATTCCCTAGGGCAGTAGACATCTTTCTCTTGCATTTATTTGAGAGGCACACTCTCAAGAAATGTGTTGGGAAAAATTAAATGTTTTCTAACTTACCTGGTTCTGCCTAAATCTAAAATAATTGGTGGTTGATCTTGCTTTAAGAGAAGTAATCAATAAATCAATCAGGTAATGAGGCTTTTGCAGGGAAACCACATAATACTGTGCAACTAAACAAATATGTAATGTTGATCAGCTTAGTATTGTATTTTGATTTGTTGCCTAATAATGCTTAGAAATGTTGGCCTGGTTACTTTTGTGGAGTAGCAGGAACTGTGATGGAAGGGTTAATTAAATAAACTTAATTTCTATAGGCAACAGTGTGAAAGAAATTGGAAGACTTTATGGATTAATGTGTTGTAAAACTAGAACATTTTAAATTACTTTGTATGGTAGTTTGAGACCACAAAAAAGACTGTGTGAGTGGAAACTATGCGAAGTGATCTTGATAACCCATAGAGAAAGTTATGATTGAACTGTGACAGATAATTATTTGTCAGACATCAAAAATTCCTTTATACAAAGTGGCTAATCTATAAGGAAATTTAAAAAATATAAAGTTAAATTTAGTACAGTGTAATTAAAAATACTAGAAATATTGAGGAATTTAAGTATTTTGTCTTTTTTGCATGATTTATTATAGTTGGAAGAGTATTCATTTTTTGATCATATAGTTTATAATATTGCAATGAACATCATTTTGTTTGGTAAATTATCATATTCCTTTCTCTAAATTTAGATTAGAGTGTAATATTTTATTCACTGCACATTGCCATATCATAAATTATATATGGAAGTTGGAGTTTGGAATATAAGGTCAATGGAAAGTCATTGAAGGCCTATATGTAAGTAGAAAAATTATGTAAGACACTTTACATTTTTATAAAGATATTTGTACAGCATCTTAGGAAATGGAATGGTGTTGGTGAGGGGTAGTGGATTCTGGAGAGGGATTAATTATGGGTAAGATGAGATAAAATAAGAATGAAGGAAAGTTAATAATGCTGTATATTGTCTTAAGCAGTAAAACATACTAACATACCACTAAGAAGGCAGAACTTAACAGGTTTGTGTAGCAAAATGATTATAAGTCTGATGGACTCTTGATTTCTTATGCACCTGGCTTAATTATATGTAAATGTATGTTGCTTCTTGAAACTGCTCTAATGACCAAGTGAAGCCTTAGAAAAAAAGAAAACTGTAAACAGAAGAAAAATGTGTGTTTTTTTTTTTTTAAGAAGGTCTATATAACACAGGTATCTATACATCAGTATACAGGTAACAAAATAAAGCCTGCCTCTACCTCAATAAAGATGAAAGCCAGGAATGGCCAAAATAAAATGAAACCACAGCATTACCTGATGAAAAAGAGAAAGTAGTTTAATCCTTTAAATTGCTGTTACAGATATTAAAAAAATAAAAATAGGAAAAGTTAAAGTAACAAATGAGCAGATGAAAAATACATAGTCAGTAGGTCAATGTAACACATGACAACTCAAAACAGCAAGGAAATATGACATCACAAGAACAAGACAACTCTATAATTCAACCAAAAAAAGACATGGAAAGACTATCAGATAATTAAAGTGGCTGTAATAATTAACCTGAAAGAGAAGAAAATTCAGAAAGGCAAGTCAATAATGATATAAGAAAACTCAGATAAGGTAATAAAATATATAACAGAATTAGAAAAATGAAATCAGTTATAAACTTAACAAAAGAATGTAGAAATTGAAACTTCAAATAAGATTCAGGATGTAAAAATTTCATTAAATGAGATAAGAAACTCCAGAGAAAGCTACGGAAGCAAAATATACTATGAACAATGTCTCTCTCAGGAAAGAGAGAAATGAGATGTAAAATACATATGTATATACATACACATACATACACACACACACACACACACACACAAAATACCCAAATGAACACTACAAGAACTCACCAATTCTATTAGGAATGGAAATATAATGATAATGAGTATCCTAAAAAGAGAAGGAAGGTAGAAGGCGCAGAGACTTTATTAAAAAAAATAAAGGAAAATTTCACAAACCTGGAAGAAAATGGAATATAAATTCAATAACTGAAATTCCCATTATCTAAATGTAACAAGACCAGACCAGATGCACAGTAATAAAACAATCAAGAATTCAAGACAATGAAGAATATTGAAGATGGGTGGGGGAAATGGGTACATTATAAAGGTACTTTCATGAGGTTTTCACGAGACTTTTGAGCAGAAACTTTATGATCCTACAGAATGGAACTACATATTCAAAATATTTAAAGATAAAAATTTCCACAAGAATATCGTATGTGGCAAGACTCTCTTTCAGACATAAGATAGAAATTAAGGACATCCTAGACAATTAAAAGCTGAAAGAATTTGCCAACATTACACCTCTCCTGCAAGAAGTTTAAAAGGTGTGCTATTATCTAAATTTAAGAGTAGAATGCTCACAAAAATTGAATAAGAGGATGAATAAATAGAAGGACCAGAAAACTAAAGACAACATGATAGTAGTAAGCCAGAATATATTAATAATCACTCAGTGTAAATGGACTGGATTCACCAATCAAAAGGCAAAGAGTATATGGATGGACTAAAAAATACAACTCAACTCTTTATGGTGCTTATAAGACACTCATGCTGTAAAGACAAACATAGATTCAAAGTCATGGGATGGAAATTTGTAACCTGTGTCAATGGAAAATTTGAAAAGGCAGGAACCACTGTAACTTATATCAGATAAATTTGACTTCCAGTCAAAAAAGATAAGAGACAAAATAGATGTGATATAAAGATAAAGGCATCAATAAAACAGGTGACCCAAGATGTTAAGTCCTTCCTGGTGATCCAAGATGTTAAATCTTAGCACTATAAAGCTATTCACAGCCACTGCAGCACGAGTTTGATCCCTAGCCAGGGAGGTGACCCACATGGTGCAGCAGACCTCTCTTGTCTTTTCTGCTGTTCCCCTCAGCAGTGTGTTAAAATAAATCCACCTGTTCTCCCCCTTCTATCTCTGGTGAAACCTCTTAACCCCTGCATCTCTGGCTGCAACCCATTCTTATAAACATAAATAAATAAATCTTAAAAAAAAGGAATATATGATAATTATCAATATACATGTACTCAATCTAGAAACAACAAAATATATAAATATTAACAGACCTAAAGGAAGACACTGACAAGACCAAAGTAATAATAGGAGAATTTTAACACTCCACTTATATCAATGGACAGATCATCCAGACAGAGAATCACCAAGAAAATAATGACCTTAAATTACAAGTTGAACTAGATGGGCTTAGTAATTTATTGAACACGCTATCCCAGAAATAACAGAATCCTTTTGAAATACTCATGGAACAAGCTCAAGAATAGAGCTTATGTTGGGCTACAAAGCAAATCTTTATAAGATTTTAGTCACATCAAGTAACTTTTCTTATCATGATGGTATGTAACAAGAAACCAACTGAAAGAATGAAAGGGAAAATACAAATTCATGGAGGTTAAAGAACATGACACTGAGTAATTATTGGCTTAATAAAGAAATCACTGGGGTTGTAGTGGTGGGGGGAACACGAAATGAATGAAAGCAAAACCATGACATATCAGAACCTAAAGTATAGGGCACAGGCAATACCATGAGGAAAATTTAAAACAATACAGACTACTCAGGATATAACAATCACAAATAAAATGTCTAAGCTTGCACTTAAAAGAACTAACAAAAGAAGAAAAGTATATCCAATGTCTGTAGCCTGAAGAGCATAATAAAAATGAGAGCAGAAATTAATGAAATAGAGATTAAAACAAACAACAACAAAAACAAACCAACCAAAAGACCAGTGAAACCAAAAGCTGTTTTTTAAAAAGATTATCAGAATAGACAAAGTGACAGAGAAAAATCACAAATCAATAAAATCAAACAAAAGAGAAGTCCCAGCTAATTAATACAGAAATGCAAAGGAACCTAAGATGAACAGTATATGGCAACACATTGGATAACCTAGGAGAAATAAACAAATTCTTTTTTTTTTTTTAAGATTTACTTATTTATTCATATAGAACTGAGGTACAGGCCAGAGATGCGGAGGGTGAGAGGATTCACCAGAGACAGTGGGGAGCAGAAGAGGCAGATCGACGAAGTACACTGCTGAGGGGAGCAGCGGGCGGGTCAGGAGAGGTGTGCAAGCACCATGGCAGGCGGGGATCCAACTCATGCAGAAGTGGCTTAAGCTTCTTAGTGCTGTGCTTTAACCAGCTGCGCCACCAGGGAGGGCCCGAAATAAACAAATTCTTAATATCTGGCTTTGGCACAATGGAGAAGTGAAGTCAGCATACGTGGCCATCTAATGGTAAAGCATACTTGGAAAACAGGAGATAGCATCTGAGGGAGGCTGCATGTCTATAAAGAACACTGATAGGAG